GAACCATTGAGACTGAGGGATGAACCATTGAAACTGAGGGGATGAACCATTGAGTCTGAGGGGATGAACCATTGAGACTGAGGGGATGAACCATTGAGACTGAGGGGATGAACCATTGAGACTGAGGGGGTGACTAAGCCCAACAGGTTAACACAAAATGAAATTACTTGAATGACATGATGAATGGCTGCTTGTAGATTTCCGATATGGATATGAGCAATAATGGATGTAGTGCCGAATGGATCGGTCTAACTTCTGTCCACCAGTTAAGTGAATCTTCTAAAGGGCTGACCAGACTACCAGTGTGCGTTAAAATATCCCCATCAGGTGGCACCCAAGGACTGCAATTTATATTGTGTTTGTAATCACTTAATTTGAGAAAAGCCACCAGCCCTAACTTGTGGTAAAAAATGATTGTTTTCAGGTGCATTATGACACAGTTACAAGTGATTCTTGTACTAACAATTAATTAATGCCATGTAATATGTAAAGTTTGTTTACAAACCTTGAATCAGGGAAGACTGCAGTGCTAATGGTCTATTGATGGGCTATGTTTCCTTAAATCAGGGAAGGCTGCAGTGCTAATGGTCTATTGATGGGCTATGTTTCCTTAAATCCTTTTGCCTAATGTACTTTTTCTGCAAAAATATGTTTCAAATTTCTGGCAGACTTACAAATTGCTTTCCGTTGTCAGTGTTACCATAGTAACATTAATTTGTGCCAAAACTATGTCTGTAAATGACTATTATCAGTAGTGTGGCAAAATATAATCTCTAAAGTATGTCATCAGAAAAAATACCAACTAGTGAATGAGCACACACACTGAATTGATCCACATCATGGTACCTTCCAGGGCCACCAATTCAAAATATTGTCAATGACATACCATTACCTATAACCCCAGGGAATGGGATTACTAAACCTACTGTACTTTTTTCAAAATAATATTATATATTACAGATGGAATACTGGCATTTGTACCCAATTGCAGGGTAACATAGGTAAATCTCACATGCATCACAGATGATAAATATAAATCCAACACTCCAAAACAATCAGATACATATAACCAGTTAACAGAATCCAGCTGAACACTCTCACCTTGAACAAGTGCTCCCTGCATTGCAGCATTTCATGCAAGTGACAATAGTCAATACACACTTCGCAAGACATAAAATACCATGCATGTCTAATCCTATTTTAAACCAAGTATCACATAATACGGGATTCTGCCACAAATACGCCTTGAGTCGTTAAACGGCAGTTTGGGATTTAAAAAAAATAAAATGGGACCAAGAAATCGTCCAGGACCATTTTTCAGCAGTTTTTTAAGGTGTTATTTCTTTTCTGATTCCTAGAAGTTTCACCGTAGTCATTGACGCCTATTCAAGAGTACGATGTTTATTGCGACTAGCGTGAATGGGTAAACTTTGTTTCGACAATGAGCTGTTATCACTGTAAATAATGTTAAATTATTCTTCAAATGCTCAGTTTATCTTTTGAACACAACAAATTTTTTTTATTTGAAAACAAATCATACCGCTTTCCCATCAAAATCCAAGCCAAAAGATCATACAACATCGGCAAATCCATCTGTCTGTAAATTATAAATGGCAGCAAAGATGAATGAGAAACACTTGATTTCTGTTGTAATAAATGTTTACCTAATTATACCTAAACTCACATCACTAAGAATTAAAGAAATATACACCCGAGTAACCTCTGTTCTTATTAGGGTGCCTGTCACTGAGATTTCATCCAGATGGCCTTACTGCTCAATTTAAAAATACCTGGATGCTTCCGAATTGTGTAAAATTATGTGACAAGTAATTTTTCGCTTGACTAAACTCAGACAATGAGTGAATGAACAATAAAAGAGAAAACAACAATTTAATGTCTTCTTACACAACTAACAGCCCACCTTTGAATAACTATCTGGCACGTATTCAACAATTGTTTTTCTTTTTCCATGACAACTTTACTGTTCTTTGGAGAATTCAACAAAAGCATTGAAAGGTGTACAGTAAGACACTGGACAGAGGTAGGGACAATAATTCAGCTACTGATCAATCACTGATAGACACTCAGGTAATCACCATATTTATGCAATTAGTTGTGTTCACCTTTATCTGATGATTTGCTTTTATTTTATTATTTATTGCATACAGAATGTAGTTGTGGTTTCAATTGTCAAAGCCCTGTCTTTAAAATGTAAAGCATATGCAATTAGCACTAAAAACAACGAAAAAATCAAGAGAGACAGCAGTGACACAAATGTCCAGATGTCACTTGACACAAAAATATTTAAAAAAAGAAATGCAAGCTTTAAGTGGCATTCATATCTCAAATTGTTTTTTTAAAGTGTTTTATTCAGGTGTAAAACTATCATTGTTGTTTGATCATCAAATCTGTTTAAATTGTGACCTGTATGAGCCTGTATTGCATGACTGGAATTTGAAACAGACTGACTGAATGTTGTCAATCAAGTGTTAGTCAACCTGGCGTATCGTCTTTGAAGATTGTGCCTAATTGGCTGAGAATAATATACAGTTAAATCTCAGTCTTAATACATTACTCAATTTAATTTTTGCTGTTGTATTTTGTATTTTATAGATGGACCAATTTTCAATCCAAGATGGTGAACTGTACTACACAGCATATTGTATTTCTGTGGAATTGCGTATTTAGCCTGTCAGCAACTGACATATAAAACAGTCCAAATCAATGTGCATTTAGACCTGCCACTAATTCAAACATCTACCAAAATTATGTTATTTCTTTGTATTTGCTTTGTTATGTAAATGCAATCAGTGTTCTCCACAATAATTAGCATAAATTTTGAATATTAATTTGCATATCATTTACATACAGCATTCTAGCATTTATGTCCCAAATTGCAGTACACACTAAGTTTCTCACTATTCTGTTTTTCATTTAATTGAAACATGTTACAATTTTTGAAATACAGGTTGGTCAATATCAATATTTACGCAATGCAAGGTTCGAAGCCGGTGATTTATACGTTCCCAAAATACTCTGTGTTCATGAAATGCAATTCTTTTGATTTACAAAGAGAAAAACATACTTGAGTTATAATGTAGAAAATATACAAAATCATTAATGAACCATTGAGCCAAAATGGACATTTTTTTCAAAATAAAACCCATAACATTTTTTATTTGTGGCATCAGTACTTACCCGTGTCAACAGACGATACGATACATTTATGCAAGTACGGTTACACGGTATGGTTTAACACGAGGTTGTAGTTGAATTCAAGAAAAAATGCTATCAATCGACAAAATAAAAAATATGCTATTTTCTTGAAAGATTCTCCATAAAAAATCGATAATGTTGAAAAGATAACTAAAATATGTATTCAAAATATAAATACTCTGGTAAACTAATTGAAGTGGTTATTAATCTGTGGATGTTTATTTTGTGAAATTCAGATGAACCAGGAATTAAAAAATAAAATCCATAGGTGAGAAGAGTAAACAAATTTTTGAGAACTGAAAAGATATAATTGTGTATTTTACCTGTTTGAGGAATTACTTGAATGACATGATGAAGGGCTGCTTGTAGATTTCCGATACGGATATGAGCAATAATGGATGTAGTGCCGGATGGGATCAGTCTAACTTCTGTCCACCAGTCAAGTGAATCTTCTAAAGGGCTGACCAGACTACCAGTGTGTGTGAAAATATCCCCATCAGGTGGCACCCAAGGGCCGCAAATACTACCATGGAGCTGGGAAAAAACATATATCATGAAAATGTTTGTGCTGAGCCACTTAGAAGTAAATTCTCCCAACACATGTTCTGCAAATGAGATGATATTTGTATAATGTAGCAATGTTATAATTAACTAATAATAAGATGCTGAACCAATTGAACCCCTATATTGTTATAATATGTAGACTATCCATTGGTACAATATAATATTATTATAATTAACTATTTGATAGAGAATTTTCCTACACTACACTTTTTAAATTACTTCAGGCTAAAATAGTATCGTAATTAATACATGTGAATATATTGCTAATAAAATGTGTTATTTTATCAGAACAATTACAGTTGCTCTCAAAAATATTCCATTCTACATTTAGTTTCTAATTTTCCTAAAATGTTATGCAAATGAGATTAAAATATAATTTATTTATTGTAGATGTGCATCTAATAGAGAAAATACGGTTCTATTGAAGATGTGTATCTAATAGAACAAATATGGTTCTATTGTAGATGTGCATCCAATAGAGCAAATACGGTTCTATTGTAGATGTGCATCTAATAGAACAAATATGGTTCTATTGTAGATGTGCGTCTAATAGAACAAATACGGTTCTATTGTAGATGTGCATCTAATAGAACAAATACGGTTCTATTGTAGATGTGCATCTAATAGAACAAATATGGTTCTATTGTAGATGTGCATCTAATAGAGCAAATATGTTTATATTGTAGATGTGCATCTAATAGAGCAGATACGGTTCTATTGTAGATGTGCATCTAATAGAGCAAATATGGTTATATTGTAGATGTGCATCTAATAGAGCAGATACGGTTCTATTGTAGATGTACATCTAATAGGGCAAATACAGTTCTATTGTAGATGTGCGTCTAATAGAACAAATACGGTTCTATTGTAGATGTTTCATCTAATAGAGCAAATATGGTTATATTGTAGATGTGCATCTAATAGAGCAGATACGGTTCTATTGTAGATGTACATCTAATAGGGCAAATACAGTTCTATTGTAGATGTGCGTCTAATAGAACAAATACGCTTCTATTGCAGATGTGCATCTAATAGAACAAATACGGTTCTATTGTAGATGTGCATCTAATAGAACAAATATGGTTCTATTGTAGATGTGCATCTAATAGAACAAATATGGTTCTATTGTAGATGTGCATCTAATAGA